AAGGAGGACATGATGAAGGGCGCGGCGGCGCAGGACGGTGTTCAGAAGTGGCTCGACGCGCTGGATGCGGAGGCAGAGGCTGGTGTGGCAGGGCTGAAGAAGGGCCTCCTGGAGGCCTCGGAGATCGTGGACGCGCACCTGGGACACAAGCGTGCGTGGAAGGAGGAGTGCCAGGGCAACGCCATGGCGCAGGAGGCCTACCGACGGATGGGCGACTACACGGACCAGCTCTACCGTGGCAAGGGCTTTACGTTCAACATGTACTACAAGTGCTCGGCCAACAAGACCTGGGACAATCCCAAGGGATGCTGCTCGGTGATCCGTTCGGACCGCTGGACGCAACTGCTCACCTGCGCGCAGGAGGCGGCGGGGGAGCCCGGCCAGCGCTGGCACTGCCATTGTGGCGCGCGCTACGCGACCTCCTACGGCGTCTGCATCGAGCTGATAGAGGAAGAGCTGAGCCCGCCCCGCGCGCACTACATGCACGCGGACTTCCCTCAGGAGGACATCCGCGACTTGAAGGCCCTGCTGCGTTACGACAAGCTCAAGAGGGAGGGGGTAGCGGTGCTCAGCGCTGTGGACCTCCTGAAGCACCTGCCCAGGGTCGAGCCGCTGGCGGTGGGCACCGTCTTTAAGCGCCACGCTCCGCAGCAGCCGCAGCGGGAGGGCCACTACGTGCTAATGGACGGGCTCTCCTGGGACGACCTGCCTGAGTTCGAGTGGACCGACTTGCACTCGCAGGTTGCCTGGGGGCTGAACGATCCAGCCTGGGCGGGCTACAGCAAGAACCAGCGGAAGAAGGCCACGAAGGAGCGCCTGGCGGCCGCGCACGCAGAACTGGAGGCCTATGAGCGCCGCCACAACCTCTGGGAGGGCAGGCTCACGGGCGGCGGGGGTGGTACCGGGGTCGCCCCGCGTGCCACTCCCGTCCGCACCGCCAGTGCCCCCCCCCCCTGGCTCCGCCCGCGGCAGCCAGGTCCCGCCGCCGCCGCCTGCTGGAGCCCCGCAGGCGGCCATCGTGGCCCCGCCGCCGCCGCCGCTGACGGCGCCCCTTGCGGCGCCGCCGCCGCCGGCTGGCCCGCCCCCGCAGCAGATCCCAAATGCCGCCGTCCTGAACGCGGCCCTCGGTGAGGATCTCGAGCGCCAGATCTTTGGGCCCCCAGGGCAGGCTGGCGGTAGCGGTGATCTCGGGGGAGAGGTGCAGGCGCCTCCGTCGCAGGTATTCGCAGCCATTGCGCAGGGGACAGGCCAGTCCGCCTGAGCGCTGAGACTCTGCAGGTCCCCAGCATCGTTTACTTCTGAGCCCTCGAGGGGGCTGCGTGAGTTCCTGTGTTAAGATTCCGAGCCTGCCACTCTCTATGATGCTGCGCCTGTGTGCTCGCTTACGCTCCAGCTTTAGCGGCGCCGCCGTGCCAGCTTGCGCGGGTGCGCCCGCAGTGGTGCCCCCCCTCGCGCCGCGGGCCCTGTTGCTTAGTTCTTCGTTCTTCGCACGGTCAACTGTGCGCCTAGCCATTTTGGCTTGCCATCCTGGCCTCTTCTCGCGCCTACTTGCGCTCGTTGGCCTCGATGGCGGTGCTGGGGTCGCCCCGTGTACTGCTGTGCCGCCGCTGTCGCTTTACTCTGGGCCGTAGGGACCAGTTGCCCTCGGATAAGCGCCCGCCGCTGCACGCACGTCAGACCCGCCATTTCACCCAGAAGAGGTGCTCGCTATATACTGGAAATGAGGCAGCCACAAGGACGCTCATCCCAAGGCGGTTGAGCCGTGGTGATGTGGCGCACGTGTCCGCAGTAGTAGTAGTAGTAGCAGTAGTAGTAGTAGCAGTAGTAGTAGTAGTAGTAGTAGTAGTAGTAGCAGTAGCAGTAGCAGTGGCAGTAGCAGTAGCAGTAGTAGTCGTCGTCGTCGTCGTCGTCGTCGCCGTAGTCGTAGTCGTAGTCGTAGTTGTAGCAGTGTTAGTGCAGTCACTAGTACTGATAGTAGCAGCAGCAGCAGCAGTAGCGACAATGGTATTGTTCGTAGTCGTCTGTGCGGTTGTAAGAACAGCAGTGATAATGGAAGTAGTCGCAGTAGTAGCAGCATTATTAGTAGCAGTAGGAGTACTAACAGTAGTCGTAGTAGTAGGAGTAGTAGTGGTAGCAACCGCAGCAGCAGTAGCAACCATGGCACTAGTTGTAGTCGTGTGTGTTGTAATAATTGTAGCAGTGGTAATGGCAGTAGCAGTAGTGGTATAGTAGTAGTAGTCGTAGTCGTAGTCGTAGTCGTAGTAGTAGTAGTAGTAGTAGTAGTGGTGGTGGTAGTAGTAGTAGTCGTAGTCGTAGCCACAGTAGTCGCAGTAGTCGCAGTAGTGGTAGTGGTGGTAGTAGTAGTAGTAGTAGTAGTAGTAGAAGTAGTAGTAGTAGTAGTAGTAGTAATCGTAGTAGTAGTAGCAGTAGTAGTAGTGGAAATAATAGTAGCAGTAGTAGTCGTAGTCGTAGTAGAAGTAGTCGTAGTAGTAGTAGTAGTAGTAGTAGTAGTTGTAGTAGTAGTAGTAGTAGTAATAATAGGAGTGGTAATGGTAGTGGTAGTGGTCGTGGTAGTGGTAGTGGTAGTGGTAGTGGAAGTAGTAGTAGCAATAGCAGTAGTAGTATTAGTAGTAGTAGTAGTAGTAGTAGTAGTAGTAGTAGTAGTACTAGTACTAGTACTAGTAGTAGTAGTAGTAGTAGTAGTAGTAGTAGTAGTAGTAGTAGTCGCAGTAGTAGTAGTAGTAGTAGTAGTAGCAGTAGTAGTCGTCGTCGTCGTCGCCGTAGTCGTAGTCGTAGTCGTAGTTGTAGCAGTACTAGTACAGTCACTAGTACTGATAGTAGTAGCAGCAGCAGCAACAGTAGCGACAATGGTATTATTCGTAGTCGTCTGTGTGGTTGTAATAACAGTAGTAGTAGTAGTAGTAGTAGTAGTAGTAGTAGTAGTAGTTGTAGTAGTAGTAGTAGTAGTCGTCGTCGTAATCACAGTAGTCGCAGTAGTCGCAGTAGTGGTAGTGGTGGTGGTGGTAGTAGTAGTAGTAGTAGTAGTAGGAGTAGTAGTAATAGTCGTAGTAGTAGTAGTAGTAGAAGTAGTAGTAGTAGTAGTAGTAGTAGTAGTAGTAGTAGTAGTAGTAGTAGTAGTACTAGTAGTAGACTAGTAGTAGACTAGTAGTAGACTAGTAGACTAGTAGTAGACTAGTAGTAGTAGTAGTAGTAGTAGTAGTAGTAGTAGTAGTAGTAGTAGTAGTGGTGCTCACGAGCGGACCCCTTGCCAGACAGGACGATGAGGTGACAGTGCAGCGCCATACGAAGAGCCTGTCCCGTGCCTGGCGGCAGCTCATGGTGAAAACATGGCCGATGGCAGTGCCGACCGGGTACCGAATGCAAGGGCGAGGTGCGGACAGGCGATGCCCATACCGATGTCGATGTCCACCGCCGGAGCAGGAGATAGAAGACAGTAACATGGTCCACCTCCTGCGGTGCCCGCGCGAGGACTGGGTTGTCGGCTGGGCGCTTCGGCTGCGCGCCGGCTTCGACGGTTCGCTCTCCGTGCGCAGCGCGCTGGGCCCGGGCGAGGCGCACCTTCTGGTGGTCCTGGAAGGCTCGGACCAGCCCGCGGTGGCCGAAGAGCTGGGTGCTGCCGCTGCGCTGGCGGCCGGCCTGGGGGCTACGGCGGCACAGCGGGCGCCGTGGCGCACAGCGACGAGGGGTTGCTGGGGCGGGCACGAGGCGGCCGCGGGCGCGGGCGTCAGTCGGAGGCTTCGGTTCGGGAGCACGCTCGCGGAGGAGGACGATGAGGAGCGAGAACAGGGGCAGGAGGGCGGAAGACGAACAAGGAGGGCCAGATTCGGCGGGTCCCCTGCTCGCCGTATCAGGGGGGGCGGACTTGCAGATGTTCTCGCTGCCCTTACTCCTTCTCATCCTCCTCTTCTTCCTCCTCCTCGTCGTCCATCCGCCATCTTATCTCGTCCCTGAAGCGCGTGATCCTCCATTAAAATCTGAATCGTCCCTCAATGTTCCATGTGCACACTATGATTCCGCATCATTTCATGGTTCTTGATTGTCATGAAGCCCATTGGTTTGGAGACCAATGTATGTGAAGCGCTGACCCAGCCTGCTGTGTACGGGTGCCGCGCCTGCTGAAGCTTGCAGTCAACCCGTGCAATAAGGACGCGCGATAAGGATGCAAGGGCCTTAGAAGGTCATGCCGGTATTCTGCCAGCGGGGCGCGGCCAGCGAAAGCGGCCAAGGATGGACCGAAGGGGAAGGATGCAAGGGTACCCTTGGGAAGGTTGCGCATCGTTACTATGCGGGTTGACTGTGATCCGCCAGTAGCCCACACGGAATAGGTTGGAGGCTCTCTCACGTTTGCGGACGCGCAATGTGGGAGGAGGTGGACAGGGGACGGCGAGGGAGGGGGGGCAAGATGAGGTGCTACACGGTGAAAGGGGAGGGGAGGGGAGGAGAAGCAGCAGCAGCAGCAGCAGCGGCAGCAGGATAATCACGAGGAGAGTGGGGAGGGGGGCATGGGGCGTGAAAAGGCGGGGCAGGGAACCAGGGAGGGAAGGAGGGAGGGAGAGGAGCGAGGGAGAGAGCCGAGGAAAGGGGAGGAAGAGGATTGCAAAAAAACGAAGGATTGCAAAAAAACGAAGGATTGCAAAACAAAAAAACCAAGGATTGCAAAAAAAAAAACCTGTTTTTTGTAATCCTTTGTTTTTTTGTAATCCTGTTTTTTTTGCAATCCTTCGTTTTTTTGCAATCCTTCGTTCAAGGGGGGGCGAGGGCAGCTTGGAGAGGAGCGCGGAGGCAATGTGGGGCTGAGATCGTCGCCTTGGTTGGACCAGCCGCCCGCGCGACGCCGTACCCCACGGAAGCGCATCGAGCTTCATCCTCCCTCTCTTCATCCCGCTCTTTCTCGTCGTTGTCCCTGCCATCCTCCTTCCAACCCCCTTGTGAACCCAGCTCCCATTTGTCTTTGGCGCCCCCTCTTCTCCCCCTGCCAGCCTGGATCTCACGCCGGCCATGGGGCTGCTCAGCTTCCAGGCCACGCACCTTGGGCCGATGAAACAGATGTGCGGTTGGCTTCGCCTGTCCTTCGGGTCCCCGCGAGGAGAGTAGGGCGGGAGCGAGGCCGTGAGGAGGACGGGGAGGTGCGAGCGGAGTAGCGAGAGATGGGGGGGGAGATCACATGTGACGCGCCTTCGCTGAGACCTCTGCCAAAAGTCTTCTGGCAAGGACTTGTGCCCGTAGTCTCTCTCTCTTTCTCTCTCCCTCTCTCTCTCTTTCTCTCTCTCACTCTCTCTCTCTCTCTCTTTTTCTGCGTGTGCTTTTCATACGTATACGACCACCCTCAGGGTGATAAGGTGGGTCGGGCGATGGAGAGGAACCAACGTCTCATTCAATCGATTTCACTTTCGATCTTACGATCGATCTCCCGATAGATCCTTCGATCGATCTCACGATCGATCTCTCTATCGATTTCAAAATCGGTCTCAATATCGGTCTCACCATCGATCTCATTATCGACCTCACTACGGGACAACGGCGGGACACCCACGGGACATCCCCAGCCACAGCAAGACAAGCCGGGGAGCGGAGGTCTTTCGGCCCGGCGGCGCCCGAGCCAGAGGAGGGTTCATTCCGCCCGCCCGCCCACGCAGCTTCGGCTAACACGCACGATAGAAACACGAAACCGAAACCGATTTCCCGGTGGGGGGCTCTCTGTCACATTGGGATCTCACCCTTTCGCTTGCGATTACACATAACTCTACAACTACATGTGTATAATCATATATATATATATATACATATGTGTGTACATATGTGTGTAATCCAGCGTGGACCCCAAAAGTGTGTTTCTAGTAATCTAAGCTGTGAAACGTATGTGGTGCCATTCACGTTTAGCAATGTATGTTGTGCGATCTATTTGGTGCCACCTTTGTTCTGTATACCTTGTGCTTGTTATGCGTGGTGACATATACGTTGTGCAGTTCAGGTGGTGCAATCTATGCGTTTCCATTTATGTTGTGCAAAGTAGGTGGTGAAGTCTAAGTGGTGCAATCAGTCACTTGCTCAACTTGAAGCTGTCCTCTCCACTGCTCGTGCAAACATCCCACTCTCTCACCCGCAACTTGGTCGCAAGACTTCTTAAGACCGTGACGGTGGGTATCAAATGGCACTTGACAACGGCAGAGACGCCGACGACGACAGCGACAACGACGACGACGACGCCGCCGACAACGACTACGACGACACCGACGACATCGACGACGACGACGACGACGACGACGACAACACCGACGAAGACGACGACGATTCCGACGCTGACGACGACGACGACGACGATGACAACGCCGACGACGACGACGCCGCCGACGGCGACGACGACGACGACGAAGCCGACGACGACGACGACGACGACGTCGCCAACGACGACGACGACGAGGGAGGAGGGAGGACGACGACGGCGACGACAACGACGAGGGACGCGGGAAGACGACGACGACGACGGCAACGAAATAGAAGGGACAACGACGAAGCCCCGACGCAGACGACAAGGGAGGAAGGACGACCACGGCGACAACGACGACGGAAACGACGACGCCAAGACGACGACGACGAGGAAAGACAGAGGACGACGACGGCGACGACGACGAAGACGAGGGAGGAGGGTGGACGGCGACGACGACGACGATGCAAGAGCGCGCGCGCACGCTTTTCTTGAACGACCGTGTTGCGAAACCTTGTATTTTTGTATGTTTTTGGGGCACGACTTTGAAATATTTCCGAAACCGAAGGTTTTTGAAGGATGTCCGCATGCGCGCGCGACGACGCGCGCGTCTGAGTTTCGTCCCATTTGTTGCAGAGGATTCTCGCGACGGCATGCGCGCAAGGGCTTTCGAAAGATCTCGACATGCGCGCGCGAAGCCCATTTGGTAGTATTTCTTAAAATCGTGAAGACCCGATTGTTTTCTGATGAGTTCGCAAGAGCGCGCGCGTAAGGTTTGTTAGACACATCAGTGTTGCGAAATCATGTGTTGTTGTATGTTTCTGTGGAAACTCGAGTTTGAAGCCCGTCCGACACCGAAGGTTCTTAAAGGATTTCGGCATGCGCGCGCGACGACGCGAGAGTGCGCATTTCGCCCCTTTTGGTGCAAGGGATGTTTGAAAACTTATGGATATGTTGTCCCATCTGTTGCAAGGCACTTTGCGCGCGCGTAGTATTTTGTTGAGGATGGCGGGGGGGAGTGGTAACGGGTTGGCTGGGATATTACGAACTCATTCTTAGGATGGACGAGTGTGTAGAATAAATATGGAATCGCAATACTCCAGGAGAGATCGTTAACTCCAGGCGGGGGGGGTAGAGTTTATTCGTCTGTTAGAAAGGAGATGATTTCACTTTGATTGTCTTGAACCTATCTTCCCCACTGCTCGTGCGAACATCCCACCCTCCCACCCGCAACTTGGTCGCAAGGTTTCTTAAGACCGTGACGGTGGGTACCACATGGCACTTAGCAACGACAGCGAAGCCGACGACGACAGCGACAACGACGACGACGACGCCGACGACGACTACGACGACACCGACGACGTCTCCGACGACTTTGACGACGACGAACTCGCCCACGACGACGACGACGACGACACCGACGACGACGACGACGACGACGCCGACGCCGACGCCGACGACGACGACGACGATCATGATGCTGGCGACGACGACGACGACGTCGACGACGAGGACGACGACGACGACGACGATGTCGACGCCGCCGCCGACGACGACGACGACGACGACAGTGACGACGACACCGACGAAAACGACGACGACAACGACAACGCCAACGAAGACGACGACGACGACGACGAGGGACGAGGGAGGACGACGACGACGACGACGACGACGACGAGGGAGGAGGGAGGACGGCGTCGACGCGAACGACGAAGGAGGACGGCGACGCCGATGACGACAACGAGAGGGAGGAGGGAAGACGACGACGACGACGACGACGAAGACGACGACGGAAAGGGAGGAGGACGGACGACCACGGCGACAACGACGACGGAAACGACGACGCCAAAGAGGACGACGACGCCGACGAGGAAAGACAGAGGACGACGACGGCAACGACGACGACGACAAGTGAGGAGGAAGGACGGCAACGACGACGACGACGCAAGAGTGCGCGCGCACGGTTGTGTTGAAAGCCCGTGTTGTGACATTTTGTGTTTTGGATGTTGATTGGACACTCGATTTTGAAATCTTTCCGACACCATAAGTTGTTGAAGGTTTCCGGCATGCGCGCGCGACGACGCTCGCGCGTGCGCTTCGTCCAGGTTTTTCCAGAGCATTTTCGTCACGACGCGCGCAGAGCATTCTCGTAACGACGCGCGCGCAAGGGCGTTCGAACGATTCCGGCATGCGCGCGCGAAGCCCGTTTGGCAGCATGGTTTGAACATGTTGGAAAAAAACCATGGTTCCCCCAAGATTTCGCACGAGCGCGCGTGGGAGTTTTTTTAGAACATCCGTGTTGCGAACCTTGCGTTTTCCCCAAATCCAAAGTGGGGTTCTTGTGTTCTCTGGACACCCCGCGCAAGAACACACAGGATCACGCACCCACTCACACCCACATTCGCTCACACAGACCTTCTTGATCACCTTGACCAACACTCGATCACACACTCATTCACCCGCACTCATCATCTGCATCACCCTCCTTATCGCCATCACTCATTCCGTGATTCACCCACTCACCCACTCATTCGCTAGCTTGAATATGGGGGACGCATCAGGCGGGAGGCTCGTCTGCGAGCGACTTGCAAGGGAGTCCCAGGCGGGAGCCCTCCCCCAGTGGGGCCCACACTTCACGTTTTTAGTCTGAGCGGGTCATCCTCAAACCTGTAACTGTCGTCACTTTTGGGTTTTTGATGTTTGAATACGGGTGAAGTATCAGGCGGGAGGCTCGACTGTGAGTGAATTGCGAGGATGTCTCAGGCGGGAGCCCTCTCCGTATGGGGCCCGCATTTCATGTGTTGAGTCCGAGCGGATCATCTTCGAACTTCCTGGGGCTCATGAGGCTTGAACATGGGGGATGTCTCAGGCGGGGACCTCGTCTGTGAGCGAATTGCGATGAAGTTTCAGACGGAAGCCCCCTCCGTATGGGGCCCGCATTTCACGCTTGTATTCCGAGCGGGTCATCCTCGAACCTGTAACTGTCGTCACTTTTGGGCTCCTGAGGCTTGAACATGGGTGAAGTATCTGGCGGAAGCCTCGTCTGTGAGTGAACTGTGAAGAAGTTTCAGGCGGGAGCCCCCTCCCCATGGGGCCCGCGTTTTATCATGTTAACCTGAGCGGGTCACCCTCGGACTTGTAATTGTCGTCGTTTTTGGGCCCCTGAGGCTTGAACATGGGGGAGGTATCAGGCGGGGGCCTCGTCTGTGAGCAATTTGCGAGGAAGCTTCAGGCGGGAACCCCCTCCTTATAGGGCCTGCATTTCACGTGTTTAATCCGAACGGGCCATCCTCGAACGTGTAATTGTCGTCACTTTTGGGCTCCTGAGGCCTGAATGTGGGGGAAGTATCAGGAATGAGGCCAAGCAGTTCGCCGCAGAGCTTTTGGCTTCGTGCTGCCTCCCGCCTGAGCGCGGCCGTGACTAGCTCGGTGCCTGCAGGGTTGTCCCAGCGGCTTGCTCCCGCGCACCAGCGGCTCGCGCGGTTGCCACAACGGCCTGGCCCGCGGTTTTGCCCCAACGGCCGCGCGACGCGGCCATTCGAAAATGCCTCCGCGCTAGCCGAAGCGGCGACGGCGCCCAGGAAAATCGACGGGCGCGCTCTTGCAATAGACAGGAGAGGAGGTGGTGGGTGACGAAACAAACAGCAGGAGGCCGAGGCAAGGGCAACGCGGGGAGCGGGTGAGGGCTCTGCGCCAGGGCGAGAATGAGATTGACGCAGAGAAGATAATAAAGGTTATTTCCAGATTCGCCGAAAGGATTTTCATGTTGGGTCTTTCCGTTGGAGTAATTGTATGCTTTTTGGAGGGAAACTCGATTTGACACCTTTCGAAAACTAAAGACTTCAAAAG